AAAACAACTCTTAGCCATAAATTTTACGCCAATCAAAATCCCCAAAAACAAATCAAATGAAATCCCCAGTTACGTCAGGAAAAAAAAAAAAAAAAAAAACCCTAACCATAAAATTTACATCCATTGAAAATGATCAAAACAACTCCGATCAGGTGGGGATCCTCGGAAATTCTAGGGTTGAGGGAACAAAAACCAAATGGATACCAATTGTCATTTTCGAGTCCAATCAAATAGATATAGTTGGTCCGATGGATGGTACCAATTATCAAAGATTTAAGTCCAATCAAATGGATATTTTTGTTCAAGTTGCTATCATCGCCATTGGAAACCAATTATCAAGCATTGTTGTTTGAGTCCAAGCCCGCATGAATTTCCATTCAAGTTTCATGCAAACAACCTTTACCAAAAAAAAAAAAAATCTACTAAATTATGAGAACTCAACCCTTATGTACTGAATCAAGGCTCTATCTGCTATTTTTAATTTATTTCTCTATACTCTTGCTGAAAAATTGTTAAAAATTTGTTCATGAATTTAATCCATAACTTAGATGAAATCATTAGAATTGTATTTGTTGCTAATTTTCAAATTTGAGATTATGGTATGATAGGATTTGTTGATTAATTATTTGCAAAGCACTGAAGTGGTCAATTGAACAGTGAAAAGGTCATCGTTATTCAATCAACAAACATGATATTACCTCTAAGATTTTATTCATATTGCCTCTCTATTTCTTATTCAGTTATCATCATTAAAAAAATGAAGTCTTTTTAAAACTGATATAATGTTTTGACTAGAGCGTTATTGGTTGAATATTATATATAATTTTGAGGCACTTAGCTAGACTAGTTGAATAGCTACCCAGCAAATGTATTGCACACGCCTTTTGTATTAATTAATATTTAGAATTTAAAAAACATTAATCTAACCACACCCCATTACCCCTCCGCACCCCACCTCTAAATTTTCTGCGACATCAAGCAAGCCGATGTTGCGGGAGCGGGGGGGTTTGCGAAAGGCCCCTGCTGTGGCTTGCAAACACCTCATCCATCTCCACACCCTCAGTCCCATCCCTTCCTCACCCTACCCCCTACTTTGCAGACCAAGCAAATTCTTCCAACGGCATTGCACAAGGCCGCAACGATTGTGGCTTTGCAAGATCATAGTGACGCAAGGCCAAGGTTTTCCCACCCATTTGGCTGCCTTGTGTACGGGTTTGAGAGAAATGGGAAGCAAATATTAGTTGAGAGTAACTTTTTAAGAGTGAGTTGTAACAGATTCTTCTTGGGTTTACTATGAATATTACAATTAGTTTTGAAATATTGAAAACACCCTTAAAAAATAATGAATTAATCCCTATAGATTTGAAAGCTAGAAAAACCTTCTTGGAACTTGAATAAGACTAGAGAGACTACCAGTTCCCCGTCAGACTGGTCCTGCAGGCCAGTCCGATCCAGGTTTTAGAACACTGCCTCTAAGAACCAAAACAATAGGGTGTAAATGAATTTTTAAAAGAAAGTTAAAAACTAAACATTGTATAGCCCTAGGTTATGAGCATGAGATATGCAAACTTGTTAAATTTTTATGTGAACTGAAACAAGCACCAAATCCGGTGTCCTGAAAAATTGAAAAAATGTTATTATCAAATGATTTTAAGATAAGTGATTCAGTTGAATCATAAACCACACAATACCAACACTTATGTGATTATTTGTTAATGCATTGATGACATGCCTATATTTGGGACATGCATGGATATTATCTCTTGTTTAAAACATTTAAATAATAAAATTATATAATGAGTATGCCTGATATAAATATAAGCAAATTCAACACATAATCTATATTACAATATCTGGTTATATAACATGCACATTCAACTTTTAGATGGTAAAACAAATACTAACTTTACATATAAATACAAATTACAAAATTCATTTACAATAATTATTCAAATATATTAATAATTTAGTAAAACTTTCTTTTTTTAAATTAAAATTAAAATTGGACTGTCAGCATGTTGCAGATGATTGACACAAGTCAGATTCCTCACGCGGCTAAACGTCAACGGCATCAAATTGATCGGTTCTTGCAATGGTCATTTTGATACTAGCGGTGCCGCCACACATGCCATCAACAATAGTAGTTGATGACGGCCTAACGATAATGTTGACAGTCCAATTTTTTAATGATGATTCGCCGAGAGTGTTTGACTATCTAAGTTAATCTTAAACCTTTTAGAAAACTAATCCTCTTATAAATATTTGTATCAATATTTATATTTATTTTTAAATATTTATTTATTACTTAATAATTACATTAAAAAGAAAAAATAGGGTCCTTTTCTATTTACATAGAAAAGTAATTTAGAATAACTAAATTTGCAAAACACACTATTATAGATTTTGAAAATCAATACAAAGTTGGAATTAAAACAAAATGCAATAGAAATTTGTAATACAAGGAAGCATAGCTACGTCCCAATCTATGTCTACTCTTTTTATTTTTTATTTTTTTTAAACTAATAATGTTCTGGTCAACTTGTATGCAACTCAACTAATCCCTTGAGATCTTAAAACTGTTTGCCACGTAAGAACCACAGTAACCACCCTTATTAGTGTCTAGACGAACTTAAACTCAACAGTTTATAGAACCTCCTTTTGCTCTTTTACCATTACACTACTTAACAGTGGTTTAAGCCTACTCTTTATTCTACTAAATCTTCGTTAATTTTGACATAGTTAAAATAATTAATTAATTGGAATTTTAAGGTGGCCTCCCTAACTTGGTGTACATAAGTAAAATTTCTATAAGAGGAAGACTCCTGTGATATCATGCTACCTTATTTTATTTTGTCTTGTCATTGACCTAACATAATCATCCATAATTCCGGATTTTATAAATTAAAATTTGAAATATAAAATCATCAGCTGAAAATGAGCTAAAAAAATTATATGATTATTTCAATGGTAATTTATTTATAAAAATAAAATTAAAAAAACATTTTTAATATTAAAATCCTATATATTAATATAAAATTTACCAAATTTAGTGAGTTGGGATTAGATGGTGTCAAGGTGATGGTTTTAGTAAAAAAATTTAGAATAAAGATATGTTGACAAACACTTTTTATCACTTTTTTTCATAAACGTTGATGTGATAGTTTATAATTGATCAATTCGTATTTAGTTGAACAAGATTTATTGTGAATTGATTAATTATTAATTAATATATAGCTTTGTTTCGAAGAAAAAAAGTTAATAAGAAGGATTTATGATTGAAGTATTAACGAGAAGTTCGTGCATGAGTTTGAAAGGGTAGGGTACCCCAAATATAAAGGCAGCGTGGGCAATGCCCTAAAATAAAAGAACCTTTTTAACTTTTCTCACACGCTCTTCATGCCAAAAGGCCCAAAATCATACCTGACATTCAAACCTTTTTAAATACTCATGCATGCCATACGCTGCTGACACGTTTCCATTTTGCGTGTTTTTCACGCGCTATCAAAGGGCGGTGGAGATAGGCCCCAGCTTAGTATGCCTATGAATAAAAAATTCAACATCACTTTCCACGTGGCCACTTGGAGAGAGTATCCTATGGCCGTGTCTCTCCTAATATCGTGAGATAAAGAGATATTAAATTGTCCCTTAATTTTATTCAAAAAGTTATTTTTGTTTTTAATTAATTTATTAAATGATTTATTTATATTAAATGACCTAACATTTTTCTCTTTCTCCTTCTTAATTATTATTCATTTCTTATGATCAATGTTATAAATCATTACAAATGTAACAATTACTATATTTATACGAAATTCATATTTTTTTCCAAATATTAACAATCAATAGATTAATATAAAAAAATTAGTCTCCGTAAAAAGGAGTATAATTAATTGAGAATCTGACTCATATAACATTTTTAGTTTTTCCAAAACGATAAATTAATATTTTAAGTTCAATTACTCGTCATATTATTGAAAACAAAATAACATCTTTTATCATAATAATACTAATACTATTACCCTTCTCAAATAAATTATCAAACTTTTAATTCTAAACAATGTCTGATCTCATGTGGCATCGACATATTATTTAAAATTTCAACTCTTAATTGACACATCAAAGCCACTTAAGGAAACACATCACGTGAGTGAGGTAAGAAATTTGGGTACAATGTATATAATTTTGTTTTCTCATTCTAGAAATTTTTTTTTTTTTTTTAACCAATAGATAACCATTAGAGATTATAAGATTTATTTCTTTTTTTTTTTTTTTAGTAAAAATCTCCCTAATTTTTTTAAGAAATTCTTCACATATAAAGGTTGTTTGATGTGTTTCTAAGCAAGTTAAATTATTTTTAGACTATAATATCTATATACTTTTTACTCTTAAATTTTAAAAACCATTTTTAAAAAATGATAGAGAGAATTGCAAAAAAAGAAAGGTATTTTTCATCACATCCATGCTCTTTGGAACAAATTAATTATTAACATTTAAATTCTCTTAAAAGTTAAAAAAAAAAAAGTTATTACTCTCACCTCCGTGCATTTAAATAAATATTAGAAAACTCCTAAAGTATGAGAAATCATTAATAACATTTTTTTTTTTAATTTGGAAAAATCATCACGTACCTTCCTTTTAACCATGAAATCGAACAGTCGAAAGAAACATGATTAGGGGAGGTAAATGATGATTTTGTGAAACTTGATTGGAGGTACTGTGATTTCTAATATATACAGGGTCTTACTTATTTCTTTTAAACCTCAGGGAGGATAGGAGATAATAAGCCCAAAAAAAATGTATAATATAAAAGGAGGGGTGTTTTCGGTAATCTCGTAAAAATCGAGTCGCTATTACAAACTAAATCTTCATATAATCTGCTAAGGAAAAAAAACAAAACAAAAACGAGAGGAGATGATACTGAAAGAGAGATGAGAAAATGGAACAGATGAGTATTTAGTAGTAGTGGGAGGAGCCCACTGAAAACCCCACCCAAACCCTACTTTGCTTTTCCCATCTTCCAATAGCCATTGCGCACAGTCAGACACTTTCATTTCTCAATTCCCTCTCAGTCTCTCTCTTTCTCTCTCTCTCTCTCCATGAGTGCTTCGCCTTTTCTTTGAGCTTAACTTGGACACAAAGTTACCATACCAACAAATGGGTAAGTATATGAGGAAGGCCAAAACGGCTGGCGAGGTTGCCGTCATGGACCTTTCCCTCGGCGTCCGTACACGCGCCCGAACCCTAGCTCTTCAAAAATCGTCCATTCCTCCTTCTCCTTCCTCGACTGCCTCCTCTGCCGGCGCTGGTGGCTCCTACCTCCAGCTCAGGAGCCGCCGCCTCGTGAAGTCGCCGATTTTGGTTAATGATTCTGCTAAGCGGGCGAAGCAGGGAACGGCTAAGGAGAAGGAAAACTGTGCTTCAGAGAATCAAAATCAGGACCCAAATTCGAGTAACCCCAATTCGAGTAATTCGAATTCTAGGGCGAGGGTGAGGGTAAGCCAGGCGGACTCTGGGTCAAATGGGTCTGGGCAAAAGAACGAGAGTAATAGTAATGAAAACGTGGGGGTTGGGGTTGAAGAAGAGACCAACAAGGATTTGGGTGTTGAAGCTTCTTTTGGGGAAAATGCTTTGGAGATTGAAGGAAGAGAAAGGTGGGTTTTATTTTAATTTTAGGGTTTTTAGTTTTCACGGTAGCCCTTTTGGTTTTTTCTTTTTTTCCGAAGTTTTTGTGTTCTGGGCTGTTTAAGCTTTGATTTTGGGAGTGTTTTTTAAGTTATTTTGGTTTGAGTTGTCTCTTCGCTCTGAAAATGGAGAGAAAAGGGTTAAATTGAGTGGTTGAAAGTTTGATTTTTTTCGTTGTTATTGTTTTGTGTTTGAAAGGGAAGTGGGTAATTGGAATGTATATAGATTAGGTCTTTATTCCATATTTTGAGTTGTTTACTTTGAAACAACTTGAAGCTTTAGTTTTTGGTTCTTTGGGAAAGTTATTTTCTTTTATGCTCGAAAGGAAGGATGAGGAATGTTTTTGCATATTCAAAATTTGATTTTTATTTTTGGTTTAATTTTCTTTTTGTGTTTTTTCTTGGAGAGTTTATTTTGCCCTCTGGTTTGTTTGGTAGAAAAATGCGGTTTTGGAGAAAAGATGGAAGCCTTTTTTACTTTTTGGTTAGTTGACCCAGTTTTCTGCTAGAGTGTTTTCTTGGCAAAAAAAATTCTTTACCTTCAAGCTGCGGACACTGAATATGCATTGGGTTTGTTTATGTGGCATTACATTGCATTACATCTGTTCTTCTTTTTCTTTTTTAACAAATACAGTTTTTATTGGGGCTTAATACTTATGTAGAATCTGTTTGCAGGTGTTGGAATATATTATTCTGATTTGTAGTATATTTAAAATCTCGTGAACTCCATTTTTTGCTTTGGTTGTTCTTGTTTGAAATTTTTGTAAACTGATATCTACTTATTTGTGTTGTTAATCTATAGCAATGAAAATAAAGATAATTATAAAATTAATATCATTTGTTTTCTTTTGTAACACATGCAAAACTGGGTTTGATTGATTTCTGTTTCTGTTGGTTGTTATTTTTTCTTTTAAGTGTCCTTTAATTCAGTTGGAAGTTATGGTCACGATGGAAAGCTATTGCTCTCAAAACTAAAACATACCATTAACAGCCTTCTACTGTCATTTGCAGCTTCCGTTTATTTATTCATGATTGATCGGCTGTGAATGCTTTTTCCTTGAACTTGATGTTTTCACATGTTTCTAGAACTTGGGTGGTTCTAATTATATGAGCATCAAAATAAAGTATACCCTATTGTATATTTTCTTTTCGTTGAGGTGTTTCTAGGCATGGATGCTATTTGCTTTATTGTAATTGAAAAGAATGAAAACTATTTTGTTCTTTTCCGTCAAGAGATGCCATGCCCCTTTTTTTGTTATCAAATAAGAGCTCGAATATTGTGTGTGGTGTCTTATCAAAAAAAGAAAAAAGAATATTGTGTTTAGTGGTTTGCCTTGAGTGCAGTGTATGGAGGCTGAGGGTGAGGGTGAGTTTATCTTGTGCAAAGTCTTTTGGTTTGCTTGTTATGATTTACAGTTCTTTTCCCTGAAATATTGGCAATCAAAGTATGTCAAGGTGAAGTGAAATTAGTCATTTGGAACACAAAGTTTCAGAGCCTTTTTGCTTGAATGCATATAGCACAATACATCTTGTGCTTAATTTTTCAGTTATTATTCGGTATATGATTGGTTGGGCACTATTTCATTATGGGAAGATGTATTTGGATTGCAGTTATCCTGTATGATTGTTCAGTTGATTTGAGGGAAAGAGGAATGCTTAATGTCTTTAGTGGCTTCATCTTCAATTCTGTGACTTCACCATTTATGTCTGTTTGTAGTTTGATGTTATGGCATAATCTCAAAATTGATTGTTCTTGATATGGATGAAAATTTTTATGTGTAAATTATATTGGTCTATCATCTTAGTTTTTCTTGGCTTTAGTGTTTTTTTAGTATTACATTATATGAAAAAATTTCTTTTACTTGTTCTTTGAGACAGGGGAACTAGGGAATCCACTCCATGCAGTTTGATAAGGCAACCAGAGGCCATAAGGACCCCTGGTTCAACTACTAGGCCTAGGCCTACTAGCTCAATGGAGGGCAGGGTAGTAAGGAATTCAACCCGGGGACAAATCCCAACAGCACATGAAATGAATCAGTTCTTTGCGGGTGCAGAAGAAGAGCAACAAAGACAATTTGTAGAGAAGTATATACTGAATTGATTTATATGACACTCCTTTATGATTATAGAAAACCTATATGGTTGAATTTCTGTGATTTTCCCTTTGCACACATGCTAGCTTATTGACATGTGTCTGTTTGCAGGTACAACTTTGATCCCGTGAATGATAAGCCACTCCCAGGACGTTTTGAATGGGAGAAGGTCGACCCTTAGAAGACTAATGTTCTATCAGGACTTTTTTTCCTGCACATTCTTGTTGATCTTGAGCTTAGGAATATTGAAGTAGCAGGAATTAGTTTTAGATCTAACGTTGATGGTGTTATTTCCATTTTCCATCATCCTTATTTTACCTGTAAAGAAAGTAGGGCTGTCAAAGATATGTGTAGACTAATGGTCTGTAACATAACAGAGGTTATGAGTTACACAGCAAAATACAAACCAAAGTCCTTTGTCTAACATATCATGTGAGAAGAAGAGAAGGGAAAGAGGGTTTTAGGGTTAGGGTTCTGTCAATTAGGTCAGTCTAGTCTATCTGGGTACAGAAATTTACTAGATCTTTTTCTTTTTTGTACTGTATTTTCCTCCTCTCCTTTGTCTATATACTTGTACTGATGGAACTTGAAAAAAAAAAAAAAAAATTTGGAATAAATATGACCCTTTTCTTCCTCTTCTTCTTTGTCTTTTCCACCATCTTTTATTATGCTTGGCACTTGGACACTTGCCATGTGATGCAGGCAATGCAACTTTCATTAATTTTGGATGATGCTGCCCATCACTTTGATTTTGAAGCAAACCGACTCCTTATTTTAGCTGTATCTGAAGTTAATGGTTGGTGTTGCTGGTAGTGGTGGGGTACCTTTGTTGCCCCTACTTTACTGAAAGAATCTTTCTTATCTTATTCACTTTAATCTCTATACATCACAACTTGACATGCTATGAGACAAGCATGAATTTTAACAGTTTGAGAAAGATGATTGGAGAAGAAAGAAAGGGCATCATTTAAATATTTTTCAATCTGTATTTAATGTATGCCAAAAGCTTGGTGATAAAGTTTTTGATTGCTCCGCCTTTTCTTTTGAATTGGTGAAAGATTTGATTGTGTAATTGAAAGAAGGGAAATGGCAATGGTAGATTACAAAATGGGTTCAGCTGAGGTGGTGAGATCAGCAAAAAACATGTGAAGTGGTATCAGGCCAAAATGGTGATAGTCTTACCTATTCTTATGATAGATTAGTCTTGCTGTTGTGATTGAAAATTGATGTTGATGGTGGTTGTAGTGGTGGGTTTTGTGTAAATGGATTTAAGGAATTTTCAATTTCCAATGGCACTTCATTTCTTTTTCTTGAGTCAATGGTTATTTTTATATTTTCAACTTGGCTCTCATTGTTTCTCTCACCAATGCAAGACACTAACCAGAAAACTAGATCAAGTTACTTTTTTTTTTTGAAATCTAGAAATTCCCAGCACTTGCTTCCTAAGCTAAACCAGAATTAGAGTCTCCGCCAAACCTTACAAATCTTTGAAAAGCAGGAAACAATGACCTTTAGCTTTACCATGCAAATGTCCACGAAGGGGCTCAAACCCCAAATGAGAGCAAACCATGGACTTGACCATTCAACTGTACCTCCGTGGGTAAGATTTTTACTCCATCAATAATTAATATAAATTCATATAAAAATAAATCCAATTTAAGAAGTTACCTCCCAATGAAGGAATGGCTTTTATATGTTAGTAAAATGGAGCACTTAATTCTCATCCACAAATCAAGTGCATTGTCTCTTCAAAAGACAAGATGCCTCATTTCTCAAAATCAATGCCGCACCTCTAATTTCTCTCCTCAGTGTGATGTTAGAAGTTAGAACAAGGCAGAGACAACCAACAGTGCTAAACACAGAGATTGTCCCTTTGAATATCATAAACGTTTTGAGGAAGTTGCTTTCATGAGGCCTGCCTGCCATCCATTTAGTACAAGAAACAAGTGACATATTACAAATTTAGTGCATGTGTTTAGAAGTTTACCATTGACACAAATCATGTAGCTGATTAGGGTGGTCCTAGAAAAAGAGTTTCCGTATTGAAGATGACAATTTTTTTCTGTTGCTTTTCAATAGTCAGAAAAGATAAAAGTTATAGTCTTGGAATGAGAGACAGGAGAAAAGGGTCTCTGGGATTAGATGATTAGACATGAATTTTTATTTTATTTTATTCTGAACAACCCTTCCATTGAAATGGGTCCCTCCAATGATACATTCTGGTGGTTTATTTTATTTTAAATGTTTTGTTTGTGCATGATGATTATGTATTTATGGCAGTGAAGGCAGAGTTTTTTATTTTTATTTTATCAATGGAGATAAGATAATATTAGTACATCAAATCTTGAGGATTTGGTATTGCCACAAACACCCAAGTTTTTTTTTTTTTAATTTTAGTATTTTCTTTTTTCTTCTTTTGTTAAGTGGTCCAGTTCTCTCAATCAACAGAAGGTGTTCTAAAGGGACTTTTCTCCTCTGAAGTGCAAGAAATATATCGTACAAATAAGTTTTTTCAACTTCATCATCTGATTTAAAACATGGATAGTGATGTGAGTGAATAGCAAGACAAAAGAATCTGATTAATTCATTAAAATGATTTGATGTCTAATAATTATATTTTGGAATCTTGTTTAATTAAGTTCATCTAATATCTTATATCTAAAGTCTCTACATTAACATTTAAGGTCTTCAAGGTTTAAGTCTTTGGTGGGACTGAAAATGTGGATATGATTTAAGGTAGGGGTGAGCGGTTCTATGTACCCTGTATTTTTTGGGAAAATCAAAACCGCACAATGCAGGTTCTTAAAAAAATGAACCAAAACCGAAACCTATAAGTTTCGGTTCTTAAATTCTAAAATGCAGGTTATGGTTCCTCACCCGAGTACCTTGTAAAAAATTAATTACCCCCATATTAGTTTAAACAATGACAAAAATACCTTACAAGTTTATAAATACACTCTTAACAAATTAAGAAAACCTACATTTAGTATTACTCATTCATTTGTGTCCAATGTGACTCATAAATCCTCTAATATCTAGGCAACACTTAAATTCAATCAATTCATCACAATTCACATAAAATTTCTCAATCAAAACCAAAACACAAGTAGGTTCCAAGTCGGGTACCTGTTTCAGGTTCTTTTCCCAGGTTTTGGTTCCAGTTCCGAATCTTGTAGGAATCGAAACTGGAACTGCACAATGTCAATTCCAACAAAATGGAATCAAAACCTATCTGCACAATGTCAGTTTCTAGTAGGTTCTGATTCTACCTGCTACCTATACTCACCCCTAATTTAAGGTCTAATGAATCCGATAAGATCAAGATAGATGTGATACAAATCGACTAAAATTAATGAATAAATGAGGTTCAAACATGGTTTATAAGGTCTAAAAATATTCAAGTACTGATAAAAAAGAAACGAGATGGTGGAAGAAGGTTGATGAATACTGATATTCATATATGAGTAAAAAAGAAAATATCAGTAAATTTGGACTATTGGGTTGTCAGTTTTAGAGGACATGAAGGTTCCAGTAGGACAGGTGTTTGATTGGGTGGGAGAGCGGCTCTTCCAGCCCTCAGAAATAACAGTATTCATAGTGGCCTTTAAGTTATGGGGTAGCCATGCATGCCAGCCACTTGCAGTAGCTTTTTGTTAAGTTTGTTAACAGATTTTCACTGCTAGCAGAGTGTTATTTTCATCACAGTTACTGAAAAATTATATTCACTGCCATGAAAGTTTCAGTTTTTCCGAAGGTACTCAGACTTGAGTTACTTTTCGGTTTCCCGCAAGTGTCAATCTTGAATATGTAAGAGAGAGATGATTTTTGGGCTTCAAACAAGTATCAACCTTCAATACACAAGAGTGATATTACTTTTTGGCTTCACGCAAGTATCAGTCTTCTCAATCAAGACATTCTAAAACGTCCAAATTAGCTCTTTGATATATCATTTTTAGAATGATGTGCACAAGCTTTTTGCCGGGCGTCAGAATTGTATTATTTCTCTCATTCTGTGGGTTTTGAACCACAAGCAATGGGAACATAAAGAATTTAATCAGGATAATAATGTATGATACTGCTCTAAATCATCAAGCAAACTATTCAGAAATGCTCTAACAAACACAACATTACAAAAACCACCAATTATATCACTTGTTAGGTAAATGGAACTATGAAATAGATCAAATGCGTATGTGATATAGTTTTATTGGATTGGCATACGAACATTCGGATGATATACTATAATTATATTTTTGGAAAGAAGGGAAAGGTAAGTTGTAAATTATCTCCATTTTTCGGAAAAAATATCAGCAAAGCACAACTATTACCAGGACCACTAAACTACCCTCTTGGAGTGGAAACAACAACAATACAACACACACAAAAAAACCAAAGCAGTCTTTATTAAGACATCAATTGTCTGGTACCAGAAGCATAATTGAGAACCTTAAGTTTATTTTGTGTAGATGCGGATGCCAACGGCCAAACCCAAGATTGCAAGAGGAACTAGAAACTGGAGAAGCTTCACAATGAACTCTGATGTCTTGTCCTGATTGTAATGAGGCTGCTTGGGAGGTGTATAAGTCTTCTTCTTTGGTATGGTCGATACATCAATCTCTCCGACATAGTACTCAGCCATCAATTCTTTGGCACTAGAACTATGGCCCACATCCTCAAAGTCATCAGTGGCATCCTTCCCTGGAAACATGCAGATTCAGACTGCACATAAGGTTCTAGTTTCTATATGTGATGAAATTATAAAAATATAACTAAGTGTTACTTGAAGGGTGCGCTAGCAAGGATATACCTGTTGCTGACAACAATACTTCATCGCCACCTGGATGATCCTCCAAGAACTTGGTCACATCATACACCTGTTTGAAACATTCAGATAGGCTAAAAGATGAATTAAATTACAACGATTATTAGGCCAAAAACATCATTGATTTTGAAAATCTGAAATGATAACCTGCAATATCTGAAAATTAAATAAATTTCATTTTATCTTTCTTGAGTAATGAAAACACATAAGAAACAAGTATAGGCCTTTCAGTTTGCTGCATACTTCGACCATATATAAACCTTCATTCTGACTATACAAATGTAAGCAACTGAATGCCAAAGCACAAAAACCATGCTATAGACAGAGATGAAGAGATAGATAAGTGACAAGCTATTTAAAAATTAAAAAAAAAGAAGAAGAAGCTACATTAGCATTGGCATCTATTTTGGTATTATGCTCTTGCATATTAGATAAGCCCCACATTGAAATTAATCAACTAATAGTAAAAACCAGAAAAATGCCATATCCAAGAGGTTTCCATACAGTGGCACAAGTTAGAAAGAGCAGTAATTCGACAACCTACAAAGGACTGATTGCATCCAAAAGCTTCATACTGCTAGTTGTGCGCGTAATTTCTGATATCTAAGTCCTTATCTATGTTTCATTTTTTGCTTAGAGTTTTGTTTAAGAAGAATGTATATATACTAGATATATGTTTACTTAATTGCACTGTGAAACAGGGATACCAGATGACATGAAGATATTGCATAGAAAACAGAAGACAGAAGAGGAAACCTGTAGTTAACCAGTCATGAATTCTGGACTACCACGGAAATCAAGAAGATAAAGTGAAATCAAAATCAAGATTATAACTAAACTAGTAAAGCATTACATGTACAAAACCCAATAACCACAATTAGCAACACATAACAACTCATCAATGCCATTTATTTGCATTCTTGCTTAATTACATGTGACAATGAGCAAATGCAAATCTCATTAAGAAACTTTGCATGAAATTCGGTAGAAAGTTCAATGGAGGGGAGGCCTTTGACAACTTTTTGCTAATTTCATCATCATCATCATCTACACAAGAAGGAAATCCAATGAAATTTAATCTGAAAACATGACTTGATAGATTTATCAAATTTAAATATCAAGGAGGCAACGTTTCTCAAAATAGAGACGAGAAAAGGAAATCGTAGAATTTAATAGATTTAACTAACTGAAGATATATCGAAACTTTATCAATTAGAATTTTTAAGGCTTGATCACCTATGGTCACCATGATTTCCTTATAACATCTTTTATAAATTTCCGATGTACAAATAAATAACTAAATCAAGTAGGAATTTATAAAGTGATGTCTATAAACATAGCTCCAGAGCCACAATTTTTAGAGACTCTGTCATTTCAAATATAACACATAATGATTTCAAATTCCTTAAATAAAGAAAACCTATCAGAATAATTCTTCCTAGCGAAAATTAAACAATGTAGAATAGCATCAAGCTAAAGTTCATTGCATTATGAAATTGTCATAGGGTTCCTGGACTGTCATGGTCTAATTTCTGGTCATGGGCTAATATCTTCTTGGAAACGCCTGATAATAGAGAATAATAGAGTCTATTCAGCTTATTCTGGACTCCAAGCTAAAACAGGGTAAATACTAGAAAAGAGATAGAGTTGATTAACAAGTTAAGATGAAACTGCAGACGAATTTCCGTCAAAATATGTCCAAAGAAACGGCCATAGTATATTATCGGACCAATAATAACATACATATATATCAACAAGCACAAGTGATATATAACAAAGTATACAAGGGACCTAGCATAGTCGTCTATTATGATGTCGAAACAACCAAGAGATGGGATGACTCAACGTAGGAAAACAAGGATACAATAAACCACCACCGAATGTAAAAAGTTCAGATACTGGATTGGATAAAACAACCACAAAAGGTTGGATTGTTTAAGATAACCACAAAAGGTGGTCAATAATTCATTCAAATAATATATTCAACTCTCTTTCCAAGGTTACAAAGACTCTTATTTATACTATAATTATCTTTAACTAACTAAGAAAGGAATAAACCTAAATTGGAAACAAACCTCATTCTAATATGGAAAATACCTAAAACAAGAAATTTAATTTAATTAGGACTATTATAATAAATAAGAAAACCTAAATATAAGGAAATAATAAAATTTATTTCCTAAAGAATTTTAATAATATATTCCCTGCATCATTCTCCCCCACTAGTTGGAAATTCGCCCTCGAATTTCTAGCACGAATATCTTCATCTTCAACTTGCATTAATGGAAACTTCTTTAAGTTCATTTCTCGGTAATATGCACGAAGAACTTTAAATTTCCCAATTTGTGTAATAACATCCATCCAATCACTCCAATTGTTTAAAATAAAGTCACAAAGCAAAATTTCCTTCAACCCTTTATTGTTGGTATGATCATGCATGTCTTTACAAAAATTGATGACAAAAGAATTTCTTTCATAGCCATCCATCCATACTTCAAAGGAATCTTCTTCTTCAAGCATTGATTCTTCAATAATTTCTTCATAAAATTTCGGCACCTCACCATGATCATCAAAATAATCAAAGTGGTCACAAGGGCTAACCTCAATGTCATCACCACAAGTATCTTCAAACTCTTCTTCCTCGTGTTCTTCCATCGGGGCCTTGATTTGCTCAAGCCGCCGTTGGAGATCTTGAACTTGTCTCCTTAGATCGTTGATCTCTACATCTCGTTGATCAACAGCATCTCCCCCAGGAGCCACTCTATGACCCCTACCGCAACTTCGCTGACCTTAATCATGATTCTGTTCAACCATCGATAACAAACCTGTGCTCTGATACCAAATGATGCCGAAACAACCAAGAGATGAGATGACTAATAGGAAAACAAGGATACAATAAACCACCACCGAATGTATCAAGTTCGGATACTGGATTGGATAAAACAACCACAAAAGGTTGGATTGTTTAAGATAACCACAAAAGGTTGTCAATAATTCATTCAAATAATATATTCAACTCTCTTTCCAAGGTTACAAAGACTGTTATTTATACTATAATTATCTTTAACTAACTAAGAAAGGAATAAACCTAAATTGGAAACAAACCTTATTCTAATATGGAAAATACCTAAAACAAGAAATTTAATTTAATTAGGACTATTATAATAAAATAAGAAAACCTAAATATAAGGAAATAATGAATTTCTTTCCTAAAGAATTTTAATAATATATTCCCTGCATCATATTCGGCCAAGCTCAACTAGCAAATTGCCACCGACAAAGATCATAGATTGCCCTTGCAAAAGATAGACAGGCAAATGGGATCCTTATTTTTTACTCTTAGACACTAAACAATAGACTCAATGAGCTTTCAAGTTTTTTCTAATTGATTCATTGGTATCCACACTATCCTCAAGAGGGAAAAACTTGAACTGGAGTTCTAAAGTGTTGAAGTATTAGAATTCTCAAATTCAGGAATTGCAGATTTTAACATTCGATAGATTTTTTTGAGTTGGAAACAGGTAGGATATTGTTGGAGTCCTACACCGACTAGGCACTCTCAAGCCTATTGGATTATAAGAGAAAGTAATCTTCTTATTCAACAAGGTCTTATTGGGTGAGCAGTCAGACCCACCTCAAATTCTATCATGGTATCAGAGCTCAGGTTCAGTTGAGTTGAGTGTTTGACCAGCAGGTGAGGAGTTAGAGCCGACAACTACCTCCAATAAACAGGCATGACCCAACATATGGGCTTGACCGTGAGGGGGAGTGTTCGAGTCCCACACCGACTAAGCACACTCAAGCCTACTGGTTTATAAGAATGGGTAATTCTCCCATTCAACAAAACCTTATTGGGTGAGGAGTCAGACCCACCTCAAATTCTATCATGGTATCAGAGCCTATGTTCAGTTGAGCTAAGCGCTTGACCAGCGGGTGCGGAGTTTGAGCCAGCAATTACCTCCATCAACAGGCATGACCCAACATATGAGCTTGACCGTGAGGGGAAGTATTGGAGTCCCACACCGACTATGCACGCTCAAGCCTATTGGGTTATAAGAAAGGATAATTCTCTCATTCAATGAGGCCTTATTAGGTGAGGAGTCAGGTCCACCTCAAATTCTATCGTATATTCATAATGAAGCCACCACCACTTCGATATGCAACCCATTTCATTGTAATGAAAAGATAAACTGTGGAATTTAAGTTATTGGAATAATTAAAAACATCTAGAAAGAGAAGCACCGCAAACTAATTGAACCATAATTCAAGCAAAGTAACCAAAGTAATTGAAGATCACAGCACTGAAACAGAACCAATCAGATTTAGTACACCAATGCCCCGGTATTTGATCAATAGAATAAATAATAATATAATGCTCATATCTATCAGTTAATCACACAAAAAACAGTTAAATTTTCCATATTCTATAACATCCAACTAAAAACAAAGTGTCAATTTGACAGCACCCCAGATGTCAAATCCTTTGAAATCAGTCAATTTCTTTCTCATCCAACAAATCGAATCAAAAACCATCAGAGAGTTGCAATCACNAAGTTATTGGAATAATTAAAAAGATCTAGAAAGAGAAACACTGCAAACTAATTGAACCATAATTCAAGCAAAGTAACCAAAGTAATTGAAGATCACAGCACTGAAACAGAACCAATCAGATTTAGTACACCAATGCCCCGGTATTTGATCAATAGAATAAATAATAATATAATGCTCATATCTATCAGTTAATCACACAAAAAACAGTTAAATTTTCCATATTCTATAACATCCAACTAAAAACAAAGTGTCAATTTGACAGCACCCCAGATGTCAAATCCTTTGAAATCAGTCAATTTCTTTCTCATCCAACAAATCGAATCAAAAACCATCAGAGAGTTGCAATTACATGCAAAGACCTTAATTCTCACATCAAACACACAGAACCAAAAAAAAAAAAAAAAAAAAAAAGGAGAAGAATGAAGACCTTGCCATGGATGATGAGCCAACAATCCTTGGGGGTGTTGTGTTCGGATACTTGAGACAAAGTGAATAGCTTATCAGTGGCAACCATTTTGGTAATGTTAGAGGTAGGTTTTAGTGGGAATGCAGAAAAGTTAAGAAGGAGAAGAGAAAGAAATTAGAAGAGGAAGGTGGGTGAAGTATGAAAATGAAAGAGAAACAGCGGACTGACCAACCAAACCGGAGGCGCAATGTAAATGGCGGGCAGAAGTAGAAAGAAAGAGTGATGTCATTATAAATAAGTGTTTGGTTGTTGGTTGTTGAAACAGTTGATTTCCTATTAGTTGGTCGATTGGCATTTGGCAGCTCTCGCTCATAATTATTTATTTTTTGTTTTAAGGTTGTTTTTAGTCTCTCTCTCCATTTTAATTTTTCTAAAGTTTCGGAGAATTTTATGCTCTCTATTATTTTAAGGAAAAATATTTTGTATAGTTTGTTGTCACACAACAAGGGGTCAACAAATTTTAAGGATAGAGCCAGAAAAGATGGATACTCGAGGTATCAGTTCCGATTCCAAATTTAGTGAAATTGGCATTGTGCGGGTCCGATTTAGATTCCACCACTTTAGAAACCAAACTCGGACTCAAGAATCAGAACCGGAATTGAGGTCTAGATACCCAGGGTGGAATGGATCAGTACTCGACGTATATTTGTAATTTTTGTAAATAGTTGGGGTGTATTTGTAATTTTCACAGGGTATGTTTGTCATTTTGATGAATATGAGGGGTGTATTGATAATTTTATGTGAACAGTGTCAAGTACCCATACACGAAACTGGAAGCTACATCACAAGTTTCGGTTCCAGGCATTTAAGAACAAAATTGACTAGGTTCGGTTCTAGTTCCTAAATCTTAGGAACCATCGGGTTTGGGTCCGAGTCTAGTTCTAAGGAATTGGGCTGGGTACCCGGACCCGCTCACCCATAAACATAACCAATCAATCTCACTCGCATTCATTTATAAAAGTCTCTCAAAGAATAATTTTACTCTAAAATTACAATATCCGTTGACAAAATTACTTTTAATAATTTAAAAGTTGACTGATAACCAACCGTTAAGGTTTTCCATAAGTTTGTTATTAGATAGAGTATTTACTAGTCCATTGGTAAATTATTGGTCATTGGTCATTTTTGAATTTTAATTAAGAAATGACAATTTGGTTGGGTGTTGAAATTTTGGATTAAAACTATTCTATGAGACACTGGGAAAAACAAGTAATTTTTTAATTGAGAGCCCAAAAATGGATTAAAAAAGATCATATAAAAAATGATATGAAAAGAGGATTATTATTATAATCTTTTTAATAAAGTTAAGATAAGATATTTATGAGAAAGGCTAGTAACTCATAGTCACTGGTAATTCAACTATATTAAAATTATGAAATAAATTTATATATTTATATGTAAGTTTCTTTGAAGTTATTGACTTAATAATCATATGGTTATGACTATTTTGAGTATTTAGTTTATAAGTTTAAAGCCTCGTTTAAGTATAAATTAGAGATTGGTTAGCAAGTAATCACACCAAATTTGGTACCTACAGAGTTAGGAATTGAGATTGGGTTTGAAACACCATTAATATCACTTACCAAAAATTGAAGCTTTAAATCTAGGGAGTTGGTAACTTACCTTGACCATCATCTTAGGATTGCCAATTCTGCCTAAATCTAACCATAAAAGGATTAAATAGTCAATAGAAATACATAAAAAAAAAAAAAATAGTGAAAATGAATTGCCTACCTCTACATTAGTTTTAGATTGACGTGAGGCATAGTGTAAGATGGTTTTGCAAGTGTAAAAGCAATGAAGTTTGATTAATTAAGATCAAGAAAATGGACCAATACCCATATCCAAAAGTTTGGCAAAATGCCTAATTATCTACATTCTTTTTGAGTCTTTAATATCCTTTATTGTAGTGTAAATTTCGTTTGAAAATGTTATTAGAATGCTTTAAGTGGATTTTCTAAATTTGAGAAAAAAAATAACATTTATAATATATTGTACATTATAATTAATATTGTCAGAAATATATTATAGGTTTATTATAAATATCAAAGGAGATTTTTTTTTTTTTTAAATTAAGGTGTTCAAACCAATTTACACGCATATCAACTATTCCTTAAAGGAACGAGCATAACAATCTACCTTCGCAACCCCCCATTTAAATAAAGTAACAATACTAGATTATTTGTCACCTGATTGACACATTTCTTTTAGGAGATTGAATTATGAGGAGGGCAAGAATCACCATCCTCATTATCATCCGAAATTGGAAATGACGTATCATCTTTTGATACTCCTCACTTATTAAAATCAAGTATTGAGTAACATAGATCCCCTCTATCCACCTTAGCTTGAGTTTTTGATTCTTTTGGGTTTTATTTTGAGAAATATTCTTAGACAATTATCTCATTAATTATAATTCTCAAAATGTCAATATTTTATTTTAAAAGACTGAGGTAACCATAAAACCATGTGAGTTACTTTACTATCCTAATGAAAATTATCAAAGAAAAAAATAGCTAAAACAAGTTTTGCCTTCTAAAAATATTAGATAACTTAGTCTTAGTCTAGTATTATCTACTATAGTCTAGCATGTTTTAATTAATTAGTTAAATGCTAGACTATTCCGTCTAGTATGATCTAACATAGCCTAACGTTATATGTTAGAGAATAGATAATCATTTGTCTTTCATTATTGGTATATTTAAAGTCACATGATTTTACGATTTTATGTCCTTTAAATAAGGGGTTCAAACATATATGGTCAAGTAAGTAATCTTAATTTCCCAAAATGTGCATATTTAATTTAAATAATAAATCTAGCCTAAAATCTAGTGACGTATCAATTATACCTTAATGAAACTCAAAAATTGCATGTTATATTAATGTTAAAAATGCGTCAAAAATTGCATGGACACAAATTGTCAATGTAATTTTGGGGTTAAGCTTTATTTTTTAATTAATTTAGCCAAAACTCAGGAGGATTATAATAATTTACCAACTTTTCCAACCCTATACCTATATAACCACGAAATGACGATTTTCCAATTTTACCCTAATATAAACCCTAAACTTTCTTCGCTTTTCTCTCTTTTTCCCAAAGGAAGAAAAAAAAAAAATCTTTAAAAATTCAATCTTCATCAGTCATGACTATAGATTGTTGATTAAAGTGATGAGATTTGTTGGAAATAAAGACTTTTGGCCGAATTTTGGTAGGGAGATGAAACTTAAATTGGTGAAGAATTTTTTGCTTGAATAAACCGTTAGAGATGTTTATGTTTTTATGGATGTTATTATTGTGGGTGTGTGTGATTGATTACATTTAAATCGTTGAGGTTGAGTTGTTTGATTTGACCTTAAAATGAAACTACGACACTTAGCATGATTTACCAATTAGCATGAAAAATCACGTGATTATCAATTGTGCAAAAGTTGGGTTAGTGTGATTTTTCATAGAGTTAGCGTGGTTTTTTCGCGAATAGCGTGAAAATTCTTAGGCGCGATTTTTCACTTAACCATCGTATCAATTCATCTTCTAATTACAGATGTGATTTTTTTTTTTTGTTGTAACAACATTACAAAAATTATGGCATAAATTTACCAAAAACATCTTAAACAATACTAAATAAACCATCAATCAACCAAATTCCCAATTACAAGTCCAAATCAAACATTTTTTACTAATCACCGAGCCAAAAAAAAAATGTTTTTGCTTGTTAAATCTTATTAAAAATAGTGTGATTCCCTAAGTGTTTTTGCTTGTTTGAAAATGAAGAAATGTATTTGTTTGCTCAAGTGTTGGGAGGTCAGATGAGGATATTATGGTATTTAATTAAGAACTTGGTTATATGGTATAAGGATGGGATTTTGGTTAATTTTATAGCCCCCTAAATTTTGGTCAAATTATAATAACCCAGATTTAATACTGAAACTGAATTTGATTAACAGAAACCAAACCAATAGATTGAATTGTTTTTTTGGTTTGGTGAATTATGTCATTTAGTGATTTTTTTTGGTTCTGTTTGGATTTGCTCAAAACCTACGTTATATGAACTGTGCTAACTCATTTATTAATATGTGATGATATGGTGTTAAAAATATTTTATAGAAAAATAAAGGTCAAATAATAACCATGGGTAAGCATCATTAAAAATCTGTTTTTTTTTTTTTTTTTTTTTTTTTTACTACATTTAAGTATAACAAAATGGGTTTTTTAAACCAACAATGGGTTGACTAGTGACAAAAGCTTAGGCCAAAGGGTTTATTCCTCTGTGGTCTCAATTGAATTATAAGATAGTTTTAATATTATTACCACGGACTGCAGGGTTTGCCGCTTTCAAAAGCCTGGGGTCAGGGGATTAATCAAGGTGCCTTAGACTTGCTCGGACACCCCCGCTAAAAAAAAAAAAAAAAAAAAAAAAGCAACACTCTTTTAATATACAAAGAGAATGAACTATTAGTTGTAACTTTTATGTATGAAATTATGATTAAAAAAAAAAAAAAAAACCTAAGTGTTAATTGAATTTTGTGAGTGAACCAATTTCCTAAGGTTCTATTTAAGATCATATTTAGATTTTGAGGGGTGTTTTAAGTCCCACTCAATCTCTATCAAGGTCTCAAATAGTCTTTCAAAAAATTATAATCTTTAAATATGTAATTACCAAAAAGCATTTACTCTCTGAGAGAATCCCAAATATTAAAAAAACTTTTTATTTCTTCAAAATTTTTATATCCTAAGAATCTTGGTCCTTTATACGTTTGAATTTTTTTTTTTAGAATTTTGAAGTGACAAAGATGATTTCCGTAAGTGGAAGAAGACATCATCTTGACAGAGTAAGTGTTTTATTTATTTATTTATTTTTCTTTTGTTAATCTTTCGTCATCTAATTTTCTTTTTGAAAAAAAAAAATTCTAATAAGAAGAAGGCTCCCATCACCCTCTTCTTGTAGCTTTAAAACATCATCTCACTTTCTATCGTCCTTACTTAAAGGATGAAGTAAATGTATTGGAGTGATGTTTAGAATAAAATATGTTGTTAAATGAATACATTTTAAAGAGGAAATATGTTGTTAATCTTAAATGAATACATTGAAAAAAAAAAAAAAAAAAATGGCGACTGAAATTTAATTGGAGAGAGAAAATAGATGTGGGGTTAACAAAGAGGTTTAGGAAAAATAAAATAAAAAGGGGCC